GTTGCTAGGCAGCAAGCGTGACTGCCATTGTACACGTGCACAGTGCGGGTGAGACGCTGAACCACCCAGTACTACATAATCTCACGGAGAGCCAGTTGTGAATGAAGATTGTAACAGGAAGGAGGTAAGTGTCACTCTGGCGAGGTCCTCCGAGAAATCTCGAGAAGTGCCAATCTCATGCAGTACCACATCTCGTTTTATGCACGTGGTTCAAGTACTTGACGCGGGGGGTGATTGGCAAGGTTTCCCCCTGAACGTCGAACGCGTGATTACCCCCCTCCAGATTGGTACAAGTGGCGCCAAGTGAAGTGGCTGGGTTTATACTCAAGGTTTCCTCTGACAATACAACCTACCCCGGCCTTGCTGAACATTGAAGGGGATATACTTCCGGACATATCATGAAATAAACTCAGGCGTTAGTCAGCGAGATTTGATGCAGCGGAAAGTGGTTAAGCTGGCGATATCACAAACAATTACAATTTAAAGATCACTCAGTGTTACACAAGTGCATGCACTCAGCTGGGATACGCAGAGCAAAGTGTATCTCTGAATCTTAGAAATTGTCAAAGGATTAAATGAAACAACATATTAAAGGTCAAGGCCAGGGAGTAACAGGTCACGATTATCCAACAAAACACATGCTCACTCTTGACGTAAAAATCAGACAGGCTGATTGATGAAATTCTACAGTTCACCAAAGCAACACATAAAGTTGTTTCAGTTATTACATAAATACAAAAGTAGCATAAAAAATATTGATATTGATAGTAAATAATTTCATGAACACACCTTCGTTGTAATAATCTAACGCGCATTCTCAACGCCCTCGATAAAAAAAACTCTTACAACTCGATAGCCCATTGAAAAACCATAAATAAACTGCATATTTTTGTGTGAAGACATATCGGGGAATCTTGTACATAGAGCGCTGATATTTGTTTAAATTCAAGTAGAATACTCTTGAACTACCAGGCCATGTTAATCACGGGATTGTCTGGTCCAGTCTCGATTATTTACAAACCGCCGTCATATAGCTGGAATATTGATGAGTGCGGCGTTAAACAACAAATAAACAAACGAACAAACAAACCATTCGTAAAAGTAGAATGAGTTAGTGAGTTGGGTTTTACGCCGCTTTTAGCAGCATGCCTGCAATATCACGGCGGGGAACACCGGAGCAGGGCTTCACACATTGTACTCATATGTGTGCGGGCGTGCGGGGGTGCGGGCGTGCGTGCGCGCGTGTGTGTACATGCATGCACAGACCATACGGTTGTGTGTGAGAATCTGCTTCACCACTAGGTTACCCCGCCACCCGAAAGGTAAAATGACATAATATGCACCAGATTGTGCCTATATGCCATTATATGGCTCTCAGAGTGAGTGAGTGAGTTGAGTTTAACGCCGCTTTTAACAGTATTCCAGTTTTATCGCGGCGTGTCAGCTTAATGTGGGAGGAAAGCCCGAAGTGATGCAGGTCTCAGACGTTTACCACTTCGGTGAAACCCATGAGCACGGACATGGTGCTGACAAACCTAGAAACATAATAGGGGCGAACCGGGATATGGCTCTTAGAAGTGTCTCTTACAGACACATGGCACATATTTGATAAAACAGGACTTCACCCCATTCCAATAATGATTATAATTGAAATCAAATTAAAGGAATCACTCCTTAATCTCTCACTCCCGTTAACTACATTTAGTTATTGGCGAATTGGGTATGCATGTAACAGTAACGGACGGAATAAAGTCAAGAACGTGTCTGCGCGTAGAATACAGTTATAACGAATTCGGATACAGCGAACAGTTGGTTTTACTAAACCGATTCTTTTCCTCAAGACGCAGATATTAACGTTTTCCGAATTCCCCGTTTATCGAACAGATTCTGCCAATTCCTTGGAATCTGCTATATCCGGAGTGAACAGCACGTCACAAAACCCCACCCCTTCCCATCACCCCCACCCCACCCCACCCACCAACAGTGGGTATTACAGGTCAATCGTTAGTGATCGCTGCTTCACTAATGGATCGGGTGATCACTGCTTCACTAATTGATCGGGTGATCACTGCTTCACTAATGGATCGGGTGATCACTGCTTCACTAACGGATCGCATGATCACTGCTCCAGTAATGGATCGTGTGATCACTGCTTCACTAATGGATCGGGTGATCACTGCTTCACTAACGGATCGGGTGATCACTGCTTCACTAACGGATCGCATGATCACTGCTTCACTAATGGATCGGGTGATCACTGCTTCACTAACGGATCGGGTGATCACTGCTTCACTAATGGATCGCATGACCACTGCTCCACTAATGGATTAGGTGACCACTGCTTCACTAACGGATCGGACGATCGCTGCTTCACTAATGGATCGCATGATCACTGCTTCACTAATGGATCGGATGATCACTGCTTCACTCATGGATCGGGTGATCACTGCTTCACTCATGGATTAGGTGACCACTGCTTCACTAATGGATCGCATGATCACTGCTTCACTCATGGATCGGGTGATCACTGCTTCACTCATGGATTGGTTGATCACTGCTTCACTAATGGATTGGGTGATCACTGCTTCACTTATGGATCGGGTGATCACTGCTCAACTAATGGATCGGGTGATCACTGCTCCACTAATGGATCGCATGATCACTGCTCCACTAATGGATCGGGTGATCACTGCTTCAGTAATGTATCGGGTGATCACTGCTTCACTAACGGATCGGGTGATCGCTGCTTCACTCATGGATCGGGTGATCGGTGCTTCACTAATGGATCGGGTGATCACTGCTTCACTAATGGATCGGGTGATCACTGCTTCACTAATGGATCGGGTGATCACTGCTTCACTAATGGATCGGGTGATCACTGCTTCACTAATGGATCGGGTGATCACTGCTTCACTAATGGATCGGGTGATCACTGCTCCACTAACGGATCGGGTGATCATTGCTCGACTATTGGATCGGGTGATCTCTCTCAGTAACTTGGTTGATTGCATGTCATCATATCAAGAGCCCCGCTTCACAAAGTGATCTTACGATTGTCGCAAGCCAGTGTTAAATTATGGGAGTTACGGTCGAGACTGCTTTGTGGACCTGAATTAATATCATTCACTGGTTTTGATTATGAGAGGGCCACTGTCATATGTAAGTTGCTTGAATATAGACAAGTGCGATGTAAAACAATAACCACACTGACACAAGCAAAAACACGTGTGTCCTATAGCGTGGCAGCCCGGGAAACATAAATGTGTGCGTTTCTGTCAATGATAGGTCTGTTTGATCAAGTGACCGTTAATTATCTTCGGGAGACATGTGCTGTACCGGCCACTGTCCTTGAGTGAGTATGGTTTTATGCCGCTTTTAGAAATACTCCAGCAATATCACGGCGGGGGACACCAGAAATGGCCTTCACACATTGTACCCATGTGGGGAATTGAACCCTTGTCTTCGGCGTGATGAGTGAGTGAGTGAGTGAGTATGGTTTTACACCCCTTTTAGCAATATTCCAACAATATCACGGCGGAGACACCAGAAATGGGCTTCACACATTGTACCCATGTGGGGAATTGAACCCAGGTCTTCGGCATGCCGAACGAACGCTTTAACCACTAGGCTACCACACCGCCCAGGTCTGTCCTTGATAATTTCCCTTCATGATACGGCAAATGGGATAAAACACCGTAAGGCTCCCCCCACACCTCATGTCCATCACTGTTACAAATGATTGATAAATTGCAAAATAATGTAGAATTCGCTTGTGCACGTACAAAGTTAAAATACATTCTACCGCTTTAATTAATTAATTAAGTTATTTTGAACTTGAGGAAGTTCAGTGTTTCTGAATATATTAATGTTGTGCTTATTAGTTGGACATCAAGGGACCACATAAACATCAATGATGTTTTTTAGTGGTTTGAGTTTTTATTAAAGGACAACTGATCAGTCTGTGTTTTCGTCAAATTTTGTAATATACCTCCCGTGACAGCAGTTATCGCCCCTTGGAAAACCCAGGTAAGAATATCGGTCCCCAACAACATCTGCTTGTCGTAAGAGGCGACTAACAGGATCGGGTGGTCAGGCTCGATGACTTGGTTGATGCATGTCATCGTACCCCAATTGATCGATGCTCATGATATCAATCACTGGATTGCCTGGTCCAGAATTGATTATTTTCAGACCGCCGTCATGTAGATGGAATATTTCTGAGTGTGGCGTTGAACAGCGATGTTGTCAAATCACAGGGGTAGCCTAGTGGTTAAAGCGTTCGTTCTTCACGCCGAAGCACCGGGTTCGATTCCCCAGTTGGGTACAATGTGTGGAGCCAGTTTCTGGTGTCAACTGTCGTGATATTGACAGATGGCGTAATAAAATATTTTCTTATTCAATTCACAACGGAAACACTATCTTCTATAAATCTGTGCATTTTAAATACAATACGTTTATTGTTTAACTACGAAAGTAAAGGCTACTATTTTACATAAATATTTAAAAAAATAATTTAAGTAATAAACCTTGTCACGTGACATAAATGTTATTAATTGCCCGATAATTTCATCCTCCAATATGATACAAATAATTTGCACATGCAGTTGTGTTGGCTAGCCACGGAAACAGCTGTCCAGTTTTTGATAATATTCCTATATATTCCCACGCATAGACAATTAAGCATTCTCCGAAATATTCATTCAAAGCACACAGATGTTCATTAGGAATTCATGCTGTGTATATGTGGTGACGTCAGAGCGCTATTTTCACCGGTCTCGCTGGAGGTAAAAACCGTAGATGACATCTAAAGGATGAGGTATTCGTCTGGAAGATGGAATATGTTGACATAGCGACTTGACTGGCTGTAAAGGCGGTACAAATGAAGATGGCCACGCGAGCCTGTTTGATTTCGGCTATTTCCGAGCCTGTGTCAACGTATTCTCGTGAGTTGACGTGAAATCCCGTCGCTGCCACCAAATTCATTCATCTCGCTATTTCAGAGAGAAGTCGACGGAAAATACCTGATGTCCAGTCACGGACACAGCAGTGAGAAGGGACGTGGCCCCCCCTCTCAGTCCAGGAATTTGTCTAATCCTTAAGAACTGCTTTGTTTACAGGGAACACATTTAACACAGCTTAATGGGACTTTAACTTGTTGGAGATATGACAATAGCATTTTAAGCGGCAGTTGATGGAAGCGTTTGAAGGGCACTGAGCTCTGTGACAAGGTGTCAACAGACATTGCTGTTAATTCATTCATATCCCCCCACCGGCAGAACGACACTTACTCCACCGTGGCGGGCAGTACCACATCGCTGCAGTGTTGGAGACTGGTATTAACAACTGCACAAGGCAGATCGGATATGCAACAAGTGGTTGGTGTGAAGTTTCTCACTCCACGGATGCATACCACCGCTTACTGGTTATACGGTGTGTCAAGATCAGGACTTTAATAGTGGAGTTTCTTGTTGTGTGAGCGTTTGAGCCTACTCGCCTACTGGATGCTATCTCCATGACTCGATGTGAATGTCAAGCTGGGGACATATACATGACATGCTGCGCTTGGCGACGTCGATGTTGCCGGTGACAGTGGTCCACGTGCGATAGGGTTATGTGAAGGGGCAAGCTACATCTATTAAGTGACGGAGAAGCGAGCGGTGACAAAGTACCCCTAGCTATCAGGCTGACAGCGACGGGGAAGGATAACGGCACATTGTGTACGGAGTGGGTCTTGTGTAACGACCCCCAGTTGACGGCTGTAGGATGTGTTGATATATACACGAGAGTAAAAGCGTGGACGCGGTGAGTACGAGCGCAGAGGATTGCCACAACATGCTCGGACTTGGGAAATACGAAGGGATTGTATGCAAATGATTCGGTGTAAAATTACACTTAAAGAGGGCGAAAATTCTCAGCCTTAATCACATGTTCCCGTCGTTGCGATTTGCTGCTAGCCAATCGCTGCCCGCTGTGCACGGCGAGAAGAATATATGAGCTATATATAGTCGAGGGCCTCATTCTCGGGGTATCCCTCTGTCGCTCAACAGGACAGATAACGCTGTCACTCGCACGTTCATCACCATCTCAAGAGTGGACACGCTAGCGTCACCCTGGCAGACTCGTGGATAGAGAACCTCTTCGAGGGGGTGAGGATGGAGGATTTCCTACCCCTCGTCTCCAGTCTCGAACGCGAACAGTTCACCCTCCAGCGACTCAATTCAGCCGGGGAGGAGAGTGACGCCAGCAGCCTCGACGATTTACGGAGTCACAGTCCATCGTCGTCCGTGTGGAGCTTGGAGAGTCTTGACGATGACGTGTATTTAGACTATCTGTTCAGTCAGGGCCTTGTGGACGCTGTTGAGAAGAATGGGGTAAGCCAGCCCATTTCAAAGGCACCCCCTGTATCTCAAGCTCCCCCTGTAAATCATCAACCAGTTATGCCGGTCCCCGTAGTCTGTGATTCCACCGTGAACAATGTAACTTATTGTACTCCGAAGCCAATAGCACCACCACCTAGAGAAGCAGAGGAAACGTTCACGGTGCCAACGAGTAACAATGACTTTGTAGTGTTGGGCGTAGGCTTGCAAAACCTCATGCACAACTACGCCAGCAAAGCAGCGTTTGCCGAACCCCACCGCCAACCTGCCTTACCCCCTCAACATACCCTCCATCACCCCCATCCATCCCTGCTGCAGAGACAGGTGAACTACGGTGCTCTAGCCCAGGTAACACAGACCAGTCACTACCGACTTCCGACCAACGGTGCCAAGTCATTGCTGACACAAACAAGTATTCTAGAGGACGTTAAGATCAGAACGCTGAAGACGCCGTCCCCGAAACCTCCAAGTCATACAAAGGGTGATCGTTTGGAGGACAAAATATACCACTGTACCTATGCAGGATGTAACAAGGTGTATAGCAAGTCGTCGCATCTTAAAGCTCACCTTCGTCGGCATACAGGTGAAAAACCATTCGAGTGCACGTGGCCTGGTTGTGGATGGAGGTTCTCGCGGTCCGACGAACTAGCCCGTCATAAACGCTCACACTCAGGGATTAAACCATATCAGTGTAAAATCTGTGAGAAGAGATTTTCACGTTCAGACCATCTCTCGAAACATTTGAAAGTTCATCGGAAACGTTAGTACAGTATTAGTGTGCAAGTATGTTCATCCGGAGCCGTGTGACGTCAGCCGTAACCATGGAAGCATGAAGCGCAACCGGAGAAAGTGTCACGTTAATGGACATTTTAAAGGAGGCGAGACAAATGTGTTGTTTATGTAGAATGTCATGCCTGGTGACATGTCCCGTAAACTGCAACCGCCTGGAACGATATAGCACTTTACCTGTGTGTCGAGCTGAGTAAGGGTGTGTGACTTGGTGGGACGGGCAAGCCTAAGGGCTGAACGGCAATGGCGGCCTGCGTTGAGGACGTCGGCTTTAATAAGTGTGTGAGAGACTGATAAACTGTTATTCACATATCAAATCATTGTTCAATGCTTAAAAGTATTTGCCCTTTATATATAATGTTGTGGCGTGTTCCAATAAGTGTGATTATGGACCAATTAATTGTTGATTTTGTGAGAAAAGTGACGTTTTCATAAACGCTGCATTGGATGTATCCCAAGTGTCTTGTGGGAGATGTGGCCACGTTAATACTGCGATGCACTGCACGTAGACTAGATTGACTTTATCAGACGAAAGGCGGCTGAGGTCACCTAATGATGCAGGTATCTGCAGATCAAAGGTATACAGGTGAGCGTTAAACGCGACGCCGCCTAGCGGGCAGGGACAAAGTGTAATTGATCGGCAAAAGGACCCTTATCGACATTTTATATTCCTATATATTCAATATTGTGTCACATAAACTCGGGTTATTTTTGTGTGAAGGTTTCCAGTGCGTTTCTTTGACTTCTTGTGAGGACTCCGTCTCGACTACCGGCAGAAGAAGAACGAATACGTGGGTACGGGAGAATTTCGGCCTGCCGCATGCCTCGTGACCTCTAACCTCGCACGCGCCGCGACGTCCGTGCCACGAGGACGATTGTGGGTTTGGGCTGGGTGCTGGGCGAGTAGCAAGCGGGGACTGCCACGTTCTCCTAGCTCAAACTTTGACGTGTTTACAAATATTTACTTCAAGAACATTGTCTCTGCTGCTCCGTGTGACGTATACCAACACAACAGGGGACAGTTCACATTTAACTTAAAGATATTCATCAACGTCATCAATCCACAGAGAGTGCTGAGCATCCTTTATTTTCTTTAAACTTTATTGAATTATATATTTAGTAGACGTTTTAGTAAACTATATTTTAACATTCCTGGCACTTGTTCAATGAAATGTTATTTTTAATTGAAAACTGTGTCTTGTTTTCTATAATGGAATTTGAAGTTCACTGGCAGTGGAATCAGGAAAATGTCAGACCTAAAAGCGGCTAGCATTGTTCATTTCGTATAATATTATCCGTTGTCCATATCTTATTATTATCATTAGTATCATAACTTGAACCGTAATATACCCTGGAAAGTGCAACGTGGACTTTATTTACGTGGAATTGTAAAGTAATAGGATCAAGTTTGTCTCTAGTAGAATGTCGTACGGTGGGCAGCTTTCTAGTAAAACGGTCACTCGTCACAGCGTAGACGCAAGTTCCATACCTAACATAACTATAAGATGCGAAGCCAAATCCTGCCGTCATCCGCTAGGTTAGTTCTAGAATATTAGAAAAGCGTAAGGACACACTACGTACCCCATGTAGCATGTAGGTCACTGTAAACGTATTGTTAAATGTCATCGCACATGTATTATGTGCATGTAGACAATGTCTGGGTCTGGACACAGGGACGTGCGACTAATATTCTACACTCACAAACAAGCAAACGAGGCTGCAAGTTTGTTAGTATAAACTATTAGTTAAATGGTCTTGTAGTTTGGACCAGCATGTCGATTTGTGTCAGTTATAGTGTTGAACTTTACTGCTTGAAGCCAGAGAGTGGCGTTCTCGGGCAGATAGTGTCACGTCTCACGACTTCCACCCTAAGCTGGGAGCTTCAGGAACTGGAAAATGTTACCTTTGATCGCATTAGAAAGATTCCATCTTGTGAGTCGAGAGAAGTGTTCTTCACCCCATACCGCGGCACTCTCGCTCAGTTCACGCGGGCAGTGGTATGTTGTAACGTAAACTGCCAGGCAATACAAAGAATACACCCATGTTTGATGGTGGCTAAAAATGAAACAAACAAGAAATTGTTTTTCGATGGTGATTTGTTACGGGTGTCAAAGTTGTGTTTTGGACGTTAAGTTTGCAGCGTTTCGGCGACTGTTTTCAGCCAGGTAACTTTTGTAATGTTTTGGTTCAACCCAATTTTCAAGTGTATACTTCCCTTTGCCCGGCAGTGTATGTATGTCAATGAGAATATCGGAGAATAATAATTATATTTCCAACCGGTAGTTCAGATGCGGATCACGAAAGTCGGTGCTCAAATTCAGTTGACATGGTAGGCAAGACGAGCGAGTTTGTGAGTGAGTGAGTGAGTTGGGTTTAACGTCGCTTTCAACAGTGTTCCAGTTATATCACAACGTGTCTACATAAGGCGTTTATAGACTCCGTTGTCTGTCCAGTGTCGAACTACTGTAGTCTACTTTTGTAAAGAAACAAAATGCATGCATTTCAGCTTCTGTATTCGTGAACTATTCGATTCGAGGCTAGTGCTTGTCACGTGACCGGGTGTACGATAGGGGGCAAGAAGTAGCCTCGAAACGATATGTATAATGGATACTGGAGTTTAAATCCATGTGCCGTGTGTCTCGGGGAGCCACCAACTTCTAAATGCCAGTCAAAGACTCGTTGTTATTGATCTCAAAGTCTTGGCTCCTCAGGAACACGGTCGAATACCGGCCTGACGGACTGAAGGAAGCATATGTACGTTAAGATTATCCTTAAGAGCCACAATACAATGTTATATATATAGTTAGCATTGTTGTCGACAGTCATATATCTTGTCAACAGGAATACGTCTGTCCGCCTCCACTGTGTCCGGTGAAGATACATAAATGCTGATGATCCATCTCACTGAGTCTTCACCGAGTAAACTTGCATTTCTGTCTCTTCGTGATTCCGAGACTGTAGCATTGTAAACTATGTTAATAGACTATATTGGTCACATGTTTCCATATATAGGCCATCAGCCAGTTAAATACCGCGATTCTCAACACCATATATTACGATGCGGTCATGGAGTCGAACACAGACTGCTAGATGTGATGGAGAAGCTCAGAATTCAGTGTGGTTGATGATGCTCAATGTTCTTAAATATTTCTTAAATATGGCAGAACCAGGTATGAAAAAACATGAAGAATCACCCAAGTTTAGTTTCATTGAAGTAATGGGCTGTTGGAACTCATTCATCTAAACATACGGACTGACATTGTAAAATAATGAACTATTAGATGCGTTTGTGTACATTCTTCCGTACATCTATTTGCAGCACTCTTGTAGTGTATGTCTGAGTGTGGTGTGTGTAGTGTGTGTGTGTGTGTGTGTGTGTGTGTGTGTGTGTGTGTGTGTGTGTGTGTGTGTGTGTGTGTGTGTGTGTGTGTGTGTGTGAGAGAGTGTGTGTGTGTAGTGTGTGTGTGTGTGTGTGTGAGAGAGAGAGAGAGAGTGTGTGTGTGTGTGTGTGTGTGTGGTTTGGTGTGTGTCTGTGACGTAGATATGATCTGATGTGACGTAGATATGATCCTGATGTGTCGTAGATATGATCCTGATGTGACGTAGATATGATCCTGATGTGACGTAGATATGATCCTGATGTGTCGTAGATATGATCCTGATGTGTCGTAGAAATCATCATGATGTGACGTAGCAATGACCCTGATGTGACGTAGAAATGATCCTGATGTGACGTAGCAATGACCCTGATGTGTCGTAGATATCATCATGATGTGTCGTAGATATCATCATGATGTGACGTAGCAATGACCCTGATGTGTCGTAGATATCATCATGATGTGTCGTAGATATCATCATGATGTGACGTAGATATGATCCTGATGGGACGTAGAAATGATCCTGATGGGACGTAGATATGATCCTGATGTGACGTAGATATGATCCTGATGTGACGTAGATATGATCCTGATGTGACGTAGATATGATCCTGATGTGACGTAGCAATGACCCTGATGTGTCGTAGATATCATCATGATGTGTCGTAGATATGATCCTTATGTGACGTAGCAATGACCCTGATGTGTCGTAGATATCATCATGATGTGACGTAGATATGATCCTGATGTGACGTAGCAATGACCCTGATGTGTCGTAGATATCATCATGATGTGTCGTAGATATCATCATGATGTGACGTAGATATGATCCTGATGTGACGTAGATATGATCCTGATGTGTCGTAGATATGATCCTGATGTGACGTAGATATGATCCTGATGTGACGTAGATATGATCCCGATGTGACGTAGATATGATCCTGATTTGACGTAGATATTTTGTGTGTGTGTGTGTGTGTGCGTTAGCGTGTGTGTGCGTGTGTGTGTGCGTGCGCGTGCGTGCGTGTGCGTGTACGTGAGTGCGTGCGTGTGCCCCTGCTTCCCCGCCTTCCTTTACATCCAAGCATGTAGTTCATGTTCCATGGTCCACACTATTACATTACCCCCAAGGCCAGAAGATAATCGGCACTGTCCTATATATAGTCGTTATTGTAATTGTAACTGCATGTACTTTAAAGATAGAGCATATGAAATATAACCCAGACCAGTGTGGCGTGCCCCATTGTGTGGGGCATGAGGCTAACGGCGATATTGAGTATCCAAGTAATCGGCTCGTAGATTATGATAACTGGTTTGTTTTTTCGTGGGTAAAGAATTGCATTTCAACGGCGATGGCTTCATGAAAACACAGACAAGATCTGGCAAAAAATATTTAATTTTCAAGGTAGCATAGTCCTCTTTCGTGATAAATTATCTTTATCTTAATTGTTTCGAAAAAAACATTAATTTGGCTTTATTGCAACATGCAGATTATAATCGTCTAGTAATAGCTGTTCTTCTAAAATGGTTAGCCATTTCTGGTGTCCCCCGACGTGATATTGCTGGAATATTGCTAAAAGCGGCGAAAAACCATACTCGCTCACTCACTCACTCTGAAAGGGTTAACAAACACGCCCCTCCCAAAAAGCAAAAGCACCTAAAACAAAATTAAAAAACAAAAACAAACACACACAACAAACAAAACATATGCCCGTCAAATAAACGAAACGTAGCAACTCTGTTTGAAAAACGGACACATCAGCATTCGAAATGAAAACCCTTAGTTCCGGGGGTGACTGAACACTTCCCGATACAAAGTACCACATATGGGTTCATGTGTGTGTTATTGCTGCAGTTATTGCAAAAAGTCAGTTATATTATTAAAGTATAATTCAAAAGGCATTGTGATTGAAGATCTGAGTACGAAATGATATCCCGCAATACTAACAGCTGATAAACACAAACTGAAACAGAATATCGAGACAAAAACTTTCACAGTCTAAAGGTTAGTCTGACACACACACGCACGCACGTACGCACGCTGACTGCTGATTTGATAGTGCAGAACATTTTCCTATTCTTATCAACATCAGGTGAAATATCATGTTTGAATCATCCACACACTCCAGATATTTTACAGTATGAACTGTATTTGACAGTATCGATGTTTCTGTGGTGTCTAGGGCGTGGTAGAGTCGTGATAGGATTTGTTCGTTTGCTGTTTTACCCTGCAGTCGACAGGTGCATGAATCACGGTGAATCTGTGCCAAGGAAACCGGTGACTGTCAGAATGGCACACGCCCCATGTCGTTGGGGTGCGACGACACACAATCAGCCAAGCCACATAGCCTTACCACCCGATCCCCACTTTCTTAAGACACGCGGGTCATTGTGACGTATTGTGACCTTGGCCCACAGGAAGCCTGTTCGATGGCGGTGTGTGGTGTGTATATTTAATTGAACAGTTTGATGCAGAAGTACCGTGGTATTGTACATGGACATGGACATGGTGAACCGTGTAGGTAGCTACACACTGCAGTCAGGTATACTTGAACAAGAAACTGTTGATTGTTCCCTTAAAACAGGCTGTAGAATGGGTACCCGTAAGGATAACACATTAAGGAAATGGCGGAAATCTGCTACAACAGCAGCAGGCATCCCTGCTTCTACTACATATGGTTTTATCACTGGCACAGTTTCATTTGGTGCCTAGTATATGACAGCTACAGCTACAGTTCTTTGGTCTCTTCCATACCTGACACAAGAGTGCCGTGGTCTCTTTTATGCCTGACAAAAGAAATCCTTGGTCTCTTT